AGGGAAAGACTGAAATTCCCCACCAATCTGAGATTGCCTGTGAGCTCTTACAACATTAACTGGAAAAAAAAAAGATTCCCAACATGTTTTTTGAGATCATAACAGTAATATTTTATAAAACTTTTTGTAGAAGGATAAAAAGCCAAAAGTGAAATTTCCTCTTACATTGCTTTTCCCTAATTCCTAACCCCAGAGGCAACTCTCACTAATGGTTTGGTGTTTATTCTGTAATGCCCTCTGATGCATTTACAAATGCATTTACAAATTTACTCTCTCTTACACACACGCACACGCAAAGAGGATGATGTCATACATGTCAGTCTACCCCTTGCTTGTCCACCCAGCCATGTGTCAGGTCTTCCTGCCCCACCTCCACGCACAGCAGAGCTCTGCCTCCCCTTTTAGGACTTCCCAGTACCCCTTGGTATAGATACCCCGTAACTACCTTAACTTGTCCTCCCCTGATTCACAATGTAGGTCATGTCTCTATTTTTCTGTAAAATCAGTGTTGCAATGCACATCACCATGCAAATACATCTCTGTGCACTTATATATGCATATTTCTGTGGGACAGAGATCTAGAGGTGGAATTTAGGGGCAGATAATATGCATGTCTTAAACTTTGACAGGTAGTGCCAAATTACCTTCTAAAAAGATTTTATATAAATCTTTTATATAAAATAGAGTACGCTTTTCCACACAGTTTCCCCAATATTGAAGTAATTGGTCTTTTTAAATTTTTGCCATGATCTCTCGATTTGTCATCCCCACCCACTTTTAAAGCTCCTGTCTCACACTGGGCCCCGTGGCATGGTTTTCTGGCCCCCTAGTGGCAGGGAGCAAGGGTCTCAGCAGCCAGGTGTTCAGCCCTGGTGGGGCAGCTTCAGTGGGGACCACAGAGGATGATGATGTGTGAGGGAGAGAGAAGCATGGAGGTGAGGACACAGAGGTAAGGTCGTCAAGTCGGGAAGGGACAGTTGTCTTTTGGGTGCCCCAGCTGGGTGATGGCTTCCCGTGCTCTAGACAGTCTGTGTTGGCCACGCCCCAGGCACTTGGAGCGGGAGTGAAAGCGCAGATGGGATGGGGCTTGTCTTGCAGCCTTAGCTGCAGTGGGGAGGGGCCTGTCTTGCAGAAAGCCATGCAGATTAGCACGGTGCCCTTTGTGGACGAGTCCTCTGGGTCCGATGATGACTGCAGCTCCCAGGCGAGCTTCCGAACTTCAGTGCCCTGCTCTGAGTCCAGGAAGACCAGTGGACTGGGCAGCCCCCGGGCCATCAAGAGAGGTATGGAGAAGGGTGGTGGGAGGGGTGCGGAACAATGAGGGGCCCTTCATCTCCTCCCATGGGCAGTCCCACATGGGTGTGGAAGACCCTGCAGCTCCCAGGCTGTGTGAGCCAGCAGGCTGTGGACCTGGGCCTTGATTCCTCTTCCCTTTGGACAGGCGTCTCCATGTCCTCGCTGAGCTCCGAGGGCGACTATGCCATCCCCCCGGACGCCTGCTCCCTGGACAGCGACTACTCAGAGCCTGAGCACAAACTACAGCGCACCTCATCCTACTCCACTGACGGGCTGGGCCCAGGCGGGGTGAGCTGGGAGCTTGGCCTCTGCCCCGATGGGGCCGAAGCAGGGCCGGGTGGGAGTGGACCTCCAGCACAAGACCCAGGCAGCAGCTGCATGAGGCGAGGGGTCCCTGGGATTGGTGAAGGGAGGGCAGGAGTCTGGGGGCTGCCACTGATGATATGAGGCCATAGGGAGTGGGCTGGGGGTGTGCAGTTCAGGGCCAGGCACACACAGACCCCATCACTATGGCCCACGGGGCCCAGGAGGAGTTTACACATGTTACCTCGTTTTAGCTCCACACTGACCCTGGGATGCCGAGAGCTAACAATACATTTATTGAGTTTTTTGTGTGCCGGGCACCGTGCTCATGGCTTTGTATGCACTGTCTCATTTGTCCTCACAAATGAGGCTTATTACCCCATCTCGTGGATGAGAAGCCTGAGGCTCAGAGGCATGCTGTTATGCGCCAGAGCCAGTGGTAAATCCAGATGGCTCATTCCCCAGCCCTCGCTCCATAGCACTGCGCTGCCCCGTCTTCATCTCTGCCTCCATGAACCCTCCACCCCAGTTTGCCTGATGTTCCCCAAACCTCTCTTGCCCTTTCCTGCTGCCTGGAATGGCCTTCTTCCTCCTCTGGGCTCGTCTTCAAGGGAAAGGCTGATTTCCTTCCAAGGTCAGTTCAGGTCTGGCTCTTGCCAGAAGCCTTCCCTGGCCAGCCTCTCGCTTGTGCAGCCCCTGATCTACCACCTCCTCAGGGTCAGGTGTTCTCTCCCCCTGCCAGCAGGACCACCCATGCTTTATAAGTCCTCCCTGCACCCTTAGCAGGGCAGTGCCCTGAAAACACACATAATAGATACTCAGTAATTTTTTTTTAATTGATGACAAAGCAGTGACTCAGCTGAGCCATTTTGGCCTGTGTGATGTCCAGGAACCCCAGTGATTTCCCTCTTCTGTTCATCCCTCATCCCCCTACACCTTCCCACTCTTGCAGGAGTCACTGGAGAAGTCAGGCTACCTGTTGAAAATGGGGAGCCGGGTGAAGACGTGGAAGAGGCGCTGGTTTGTCCTGAGACAGGGACAGATCATGTACTACAAGTCTCCGGTGAGACCCTCCTTCCCCAGGACAGTAGGCAAAAGGACCCCACCCCAGCCCCAGAACCACATGAGAGGGGCTGGAAGCAAGGCAGAGGGTGAAGGTCTGGCAGGCAGGGAGAGGCAGCCTGGGCAGGCACCTGAGGCTTTGAGCCCCACACGGGACCATGAGGCTGGTCACCGGTTCTCACAGTGAAATCAGGCACTGAGCAGTCAAGGGCACTTCTAGATGAATTGGCTTGGTGATTCCTTCTTCCTTCAGAAACCGAGCCCTGTAAATGAACCATTCCTAGGCTGCCCTCACATCAGGACTGTTCTAATAGGCGAGCTTGTCACCTCCTCCGTCTCCTTCCTACACTGTTTGGAATTAGGGACCCTTAGGATGTTGGGACCTAGTTTGACAGGCTCTCCCTAGAGAACCAATGTTAACGTTTTAAAGAAGGCAAGAAGGCCTGACTCTTGTGCAACTCCAGTTGATTGTTAGTGGCTACCTTGAGCATCATGTGAAGGATTCAGGTCCCGTATCACTCAATGAGTAGGCATGCTCTGATTGATTAGTTATGTCTGCAGTGGCACTGGAGAAGGTAATGGTGATATATATAGGCCACCTGTTTGCAACACTATAAAATATGTAGTAGAAAGAATTTAAGGGCTTTGTAGCTCAGGAATAACCTGGTGGTTTCTCACCCAGTTTTTAAAGGCACAATCTATACTTTTTGAGGCCTGGATTAGGAGGACCCATGTCTCTAATCATTGCTTCATTTAGTTAGAACCAGGATCCAGAACAAGTTATCCATCATACCACAGCCCAGGAAAGCTTAGGAATCACTTTGCCCATTGTGACCTAGAGTAAGGTCTGAGGGGAAATGATGTGCTCTGGGAAGGCTCCAACCTCTTTCCTCTCCATTCCTCTCTACAGAGTGACATCATTCGGAAACCTCAAGGTCAAGTGGAACTGAACTCCCGTTGCCAAATTGTTCGAGGGGAGGGTGCACAGACATTCCAGGTGAGCGTGTTCCTAGCGGCTAGTGCTTTAGATAGAAGAGGTGCTGGGTTTGGATATGGCTCGGATGGAAACAAAGATGGGGCAGAATGAGCATGTGTGAAAGCCATTACCTCGACGTTTGCATTGATCCTCATTTGTGGGTTTGAGGAAGGAAGAGGAGGCAGAATGTGAGAGATGGAGTGAAGGTAGGAGAGACACAGAGGCAAAGATGACGAGGAGAAGGGAGGGAGGGAGTACCAGGGCAGGAGGAAGGAAGAGCCGGTGGCTTGGAGATCTGCGCCACCACAGAGCCAGGCCCCTGTTCTTCCATCGTCCTGTCTCCCCATCCCCAACCCCTCACTTCTCCACAGCTCATCTCTGAGAAGAAGACCTATTACCTGACAGCGGACTCGCCCAGCCTGCTGGAGGAGTGGATCCGTGTCCTACAGAGCCTGCTGAAGGTCCAGGCCATTGGGCCTCCGGCCCTGACTCAGGGCGGCGCCAAGCCTGCTGTGAAGGGCTGGCTGACTAAGGTATGGGTGGGGTTGGTGGGGGAGGAGCGTGGTGGGCTCCTCATGAGAGGCAGGGGAGCCAGGAGTGAGTGCTGGGCTGGTGGGTCACCTCCTGACACACAGCTCCTTTCTCCAGGAGGCCCCTCACACTGACTACCTGTGGGCTGAACCACACAAGGTGACGGTGAATGAGTGTCTGGAAAAATAGGGGTCAGTGTTGTTACAACAGCAGCTATTCTTGAGACAGGGGACGAAAAGGAATGTATCAGACCCATTTTGAGGTCATTAGGAGTTGCCCTCACCCCTGCCTGTACCCACCACAGCTCAGTGTGAATAGTGGGAAGCTGTGACCTCGGTGAGACAGGTGTGGCCAAAGACTTATCATATCTCAGGCTGCCCTAAAGACGTTTTAATTAGGGCTCTTCTGGTTGCAGGGAGCTGAGAAGCACTTGTTAATCCCAAGAAAGGGGAAGTTAACAAGGAAGTGCGTTAACTAGGCCAGGATGCCGTCAGGAATGACTGTGTGAGCAAGTTCAGTGCTTGGGGCTCTGCCTCTGCCTCTGCTTCCCCGTTCAGTCTATGTTCACAGCCATCTCCTCTGCCCATGTGCAGTGTTTTTTACACTTCACGATTATACTTGCCCAAGGGCTTCAGCCCACCGTGGCCCTTCCCTTCTGACTCTAGCCTCTGCTGACTAGCAAGTTCTTCTCGTGATCATATTCCTGGGACAGGATATCTGGTTGGCCTGGTCGATCTTTTAATGGCAGGTCATACGAGGACGGATGGGGTGTCGCGTGGTACCGTGGACCCTCGCTGTGAAAGGGCTGGTTCCGTTAGTAGAGAATCTGGGTGGCATCTGAGTTTGACCTGGGATTGACCAAAGGATCTGAGTTGGACCAGGGGTTTTGAGATCTGTCTCCCTGTGGCTTCTCCTTGCCAGTCCCGGATCTTCTTTTGGGGTTGTCTGGTTCTAATAATGCTGGTTCATTTCTGGCCTACAGGTCAAGCATGGCCATTCCAAACTGGTCTGGTGTGCTCTTGTTGGGAGAACCTTCTACTACTATCGAAGCCACGAGGACAAGGTACTTCCTGGCCTCCCGACAACTTCCCCCAAACCACATTCCTCTGGCTCCGTGTCCTTATGGAAGGCCCCAGCTTTACCCTCTACCCCACCCAACCCCACAACAAGTACAGAGCTGGCTGGCCAGATCCCTCTAGAGTGTGTGACCAGTGTGCATGGTCCGCAGACCCTGCCTGTGTGGTCTGTCTGTGCTTCTCCAAGTCCGCCTCAGCCAGGGAGCTGTAGTCTCCCCCTCGTCCTTGATTGCCGGCCGTACAAGGCCTGAGGGTTCAGAGAGAGGAGACTCCTCCGTTCCCCGCTGGCCCTCCCATTCACGGAAGGCTCCTGTCCACAGCGCCCCCTGGGCCGTCTGCCTGTGCGGGACGCACGCATAGAGGAAGTAGATCGATCCTGTGACTCAGACGAGGACTATGAGGCTGGAGGGACCCGGCGGTTGCTTTCCTCCCACTGCACCCTTGTGATCCACCCCCCAGAGCACAGCCCCACCTACCTCCTCATTGGCACCAAGCATGAAAAGGTATGGGAGGGGGCTGGGCCTCCATGGCAAAGCTTGCACCTTTGATTCTCACCTTCCTTCTCTCTTCTGAGCTTCCCCAGATTCGAATCTATTTCCCTCCTGGACATTTTGGCAACTAGTATTTCCTGAATATTCCTTGTATTGAATCCATTCCCAGTGACCAACATCTCTTCACTGGGGCCATGAGATGGAGGGAACCACAAGCTTAGGAACTTGGGTTCACATTCAGCCGATCCCAAGTCTTTCCTCTTAGGGACCAGTGGCCTTGACTTGTGCCAACCAGACAGGCTGACCCTCACCCTGGGCTTGGCCCCTTCAGGGAGGCTCCCTTGGAGCTCTTGCCTCCATTCTTCCCCAGCCCAGCCCCATCAGGTGGCTTTCCATCCTTTTCCAGGATACGTGGCTTTACCACCTCACAGTGGCTGCAGGTGGCAGCAGTGCCAAGGTGGGCACTGCCTATGAGCAGCTCATTGGACAGCTGATGGATGGTGAGGGAGACCCAGGTAAGGCGAGGGTGGCCATCACTGCTGGGTTGGTGGGTGGTGGCTGGGTAACTGTTGGTCAGGAACCCAAAGAAAGCACTACTGTACCCTGAAGCTGTTTGGAGACCTTCTAAGCCACAGAAGGGCATTCCCGTCCCAAGCTCCAGGACCCCTGTTTCTGGTGAGGATACTGAGGAGACGACTCAGTATCCGGGGGAGTTGTCTGGGGAGCAGACTTTCCGGTCACTCGGTCAATGTTTTACTTTGTTCACTGCAACTTTCCTGGCTGGGCAGAGGGTTGAGGAAAGAAGGTGGCTGGTTAATCTATAGTTAAGAGTTTGTTAATAAATGAAGCCTAAGTTAGGATCAGGCTAACTAAGCCTGGGGCATTTGGGGGTCTTTATTTTGCTACTGATTCTCAGGACCCTGAGGATCCAAGGGCACCCAGAACACTCACTGCTTTACTGCTGCTCCGAGGCTTGTTTGTTCCAGGCTGATATACGCTCCTCTATCCAGACCTAGCGCTGCAGGGAGAGGCCCTCCCCTGCACACACACGCTTGCACTCCGATGTCCATGCCTTGCGTTGGACGTTCACCCCTATTGCAGCCCCACGAGCAAAGCAGTAGCCGCCTTCCTGTAAGCCATGCTCGTGAGTGTGCTGAATAAATGCAGTGCACAGCCCACACTCTGTGGATATAGATCCAGCACAGCCCACGTGTCCCGACTGTGAAAGCACCGTCTTCCCCAGAGATCAGGGTCGGGGTGCGGGGGAGGCGAGTTCCCTCCTCGGTGGTAACGGCTGCCGCTCTCTGGTGCTGTGCTCCGGGCAGATTCCCCCCTCTGGAGGCACCCCATGCTGTGCTACAGCAAAGACGGGCTGTACACCTCCCTCACCACACTGCCCTCCGAGGCCCTGCAGACGGAGGCCGTCAAGCTCTTCAAGGTAAAGTAGGAGCTGAGCCCAGGCCCACGGACTGGTGGCGGCGCCCTTGCCCTGTGCCCAGGCTCTGCCCAGAGCAGTTCTTCCCACCACGGTGATGCCGGCGTGGAGAAGACCTGTGCAGTTTAGCGGGGAGCTCCCGGAGGGATCTGAAGAGGAAGGGAAAGAAAGTCCCTCAGGGCTCCCATCATGTCCTTTACGGCAGGGAGGCTGGAAGCTCTGGGACTTCATTCATGGGCCCTTGGGGAGCACTAGCGGAACGAAGAGCTGCCCTCCTGTAGTGAGCAGCGGATCTGGACCTGAGAGATTCTGGCCTATTTTAGAATATTCTTTGTTCCCCTCTGAATAGTCTATCTTTTTAAAAAATGAATATGTCTTGCTTATGTAATGGAAACATGTAAAGGAAAGATCCTATCCCAAAGTAGCCTTCTCGGTAAGCGTAGACATTCTCGAGCAGTAACGATGCTCCCTCCTAGAAAGAGCTGTCTGCCGTGAACCGGAGCCTTCCTTGAGCCCTGGGGGTGGGGGGATGGCCCAGTCCGTCCCCTGTCACAGAGGATGATAATCAGGGGGCTGTCAGTCTACCTGTGCCCACTGTCATTTCCCTGCAGTCGTGCCAACTCTTCATCAACGTGCCCGTGGAAGCGGCCTCGGTGGACTACCATGTGTCCCTGGCCCAGACCGCACTGCAGGTCTGCCTCGTTCACCCCGAGCTGCAGAGCGAGCTGTACTGCCAGCTCATGAAGCAGACCAGCTGCCGCCCGCCGCAGAAGTGCTCCCTCATGCAGGTGGGTGTCCCTGGGGCGGAACTGCCGACAGGAGCCGTCGGCCAGGGCTGCCCAGGACGTGGGAAAGGTGGAAGGAGGTGACAGGGCAGGCATCCTCCGAGCCTGGCAGCCAGCAGGCGGCTTCCGTACTCAAGGCTGCCCGGGTCCCGCTGCCCTCTCTGTGCCCCTTCTGGATGTCTGCACAGAGTCAGGTTGTGTGATTGCGGCTCTGCACAAAGCCCGACCAGGCTGGCCATCCTGATGCCCGCAGAAGGCTGGGGGCTGCGGTTCAGAGAGGGTGGTGAAGGCTCTGTAGCTCAGGACTGCGATGGTGGTGGCACGGCGGACCCAGCGCTCAGCCCACATTTCTTGTTTCCCCCGGCAGTGCTGGCAGCTCCTGGCTCTGTGTGCCCCACTTTTCCTGCCTCAGCACCACTTCCTCTGGTACGTCAAACAGCAGCTCCAGCGCCACGCAGATCCCCGGTGAGTGCACGTCGTTTCCTCTGCCACTCTGGCATTACCGACTGGCGTGATCTGGAGGGACACAGGGGAGACTAGGATGGATCAGATCGCCCCGCCCTCTGGGGTTTGCACAGTGGTCATGTAGACTTTGCCCATCACCACGTACGCAGATGGGCACGTGGAGATCTGGGCACGCTCTGCACACCAATCCACGTGCGTGTGGGTATTTAGTGGGGGCCCTCATGTGGAGCTGCCGCACCCCCAGATCATCCCCAGATTTGCATTCTCTGTTGCCATGTTTTCTGGCTTCTGCAGAAAATATCCGTGCCAGCAACCTGCAGCAGATAGGCCCCGAATGACAAATTAACACCCCAGACCAGTCTTTGGGGCTCGTGTCACAGCCTTCCGGCTGCAGGTTTGGTCCTATAGGTTACACGTAGTGTGTCAAGGTGGTAGGGATGAGTGGATTCCCGGTTTTCCTTTCTTCCTTCTCCTTTTTAGAAATGAGACGGGCCAGTACGCCACGTACTGCCAGCGGGCAGTGGAGCGGACGCTGCAGACTGGGGAGCGGGAGGCCAGGCCCTCGCGCATGGAGGTGGTGTCTATCCTGCTGCGGAACCCCTTCCACCACTCCTCGCCCTTCAGCATCCCCGTGCACTTCACCAACGGGACTTACCAGGTGATGAGCGACCTACCAGGTGCCAAGGCTGCCGCGCCCCCTGTGCTGAGTCTTCTCATATTGCCGTCCCAGAGGAGAACACCTTTGGGCCAGTGGGTGCTAAGCCTCCCTAGGCCCAGCAGATCTTAACAGGCAGACCAGCCAAAGGATGGGCCTGGGGTATAGGGGTGAGTGTGGAGGGAGTACGGAGCTTGAATCACAAAAGCGCTTCACTCTTTGGGGCTTGGGAAGAGGATCTTTTGAACCCACTATGTGAACAGGGAAGCTGACACACTGACCAAGAAAGTGGCAGGGAAAGGGCCTCCCAAAGAGTGACAGCAAAGGAGGAACGGAGCTTATGTGGGACTTCAGTTTATGGTGGGCGGGCTCCTCCCTTAAGCACTCGCCCTCTGCACGTGGAAACCAGCTTTCTTTGGCCTCTGCCGTCGCCCTCGCTCCTTTCAGCCATGCCTTTCCACCTCCCGGGCTCTGACCCCTCCACGAGCCCCCGTGGGCCCCTCTCAGGAGGTCCCCTCTCCCGGCAGGTGGTGGGTTTTGACGGCTCCTCCACAGTTGACGAGTTCCTCCAGCGGCTGAACCAGGAGACGGGCATGAGGAAGTCCTCCCATTCTGGCTTTGCCCTCTTCACGGACGACCCTTCTGGCAGGGACCTGGAATACTGCCTGCAGGGGAGTGTCAAGGTGATGGTCCCCCGTAAGCCACCTGAGCCACCTTTGTCTTCAGGATTTTGTGTTCCCAGCTTGTTTGGGGCTGAGCTTGAGGCCAGCATTTCTGTGCCATCTTAAAATGTGCCCATATAGGCAGAGTAAAGTCGTTTGTGCCCTTGTCTCTGGAGAGAAGATCTCCACATCCCTCCCTCCCTCCCTCCCTTGAGAGGCTATTCAGCTTCCAGAAGAAAAGCCGCTTCCCAGCTCAGGGTAGGAAGCACAGGGAGGCATTTCTCAGCAACAGCCCCACCCGGGCGGAGCCCGCTGCCAGTTTCGTACACACATGCGTAGACGGACAACTGTATGCCTGGACCCAGCAGATGTTGTGTTGTATGCTGGCAGCTCACTCTTACCCAGTCTGCCAGGGCCCGTGCTGTGCTTACAGGTTCCACCAACTTTAAAGAGGTAGATCCTTGTGGTACTTCTGTGCGTAAAGGCCCTTGAGTGGGATTCGAACCCTGTGTTACATTAGGGTCTGGGGTTAGAGCCACGGGGCATGCTGGGTGTTTGTGGGATGTGCTGGAGCACTTGATGAGGATGAGCGTTTTGGCTGCAGTTTCTGCTTTCTTTATGGTGACAGGGCAAAGGCTCCTATAGTCTTTTACCATTGCCTGGAAAAACTATGCCCAGGCATCTGTAAGGCTTTGTTACACAGTAGGCCTCCGGTTATATTTGTTGAAGAGAATGGCTGTTGGTGGGAGGGAAGTGGAGCCTGTGATAAGGGGCCATGGTTTTGAACTGGGGCCTGTCTAGCCTCTGGGAGGCCCCCTCAGATGTCCAGGCAATGGCGGCAGCATTCCATGGTTTGCTGCCCAGGCCATGCTCAGAGCTACACCTCTGTCTGTGAGAAAGCCACAGGCACCCTGGGTCCTGGGAGCATGAGGCCCCACGGGTCGGCCTCCTGATGGAGGACAGTCCTTCAACTCTGCCCCGCTGCTCTGCCCGAGTCCAGCCGTGACTGGACCTTGTTCCCTTCATCAGGGGCTTTTCTGACTTTCCTCTTTTACCTCATGCAGATCTGCGATGCCATCTCCAAGTGGGAACAAGCCCTGAAGGAGCTGCACTCCGGAAAGTCTGAGGGTGGCACACGTGTCGTGAAGCTGATGTACAAGAACAGGTCCTGGGCACCGCCAAGGGGGACCGAGCATGAGAGCTGCCGCTGGGGTGCAGCTCATCACTCCCCCAGCTGGAGGCCTGTCCTGCACAGGCAGGGCGCCCAGAGATATAACACTGCCTGCTGGTCAGTAGCTGGAGGCCCAGACTGGCTCTGCTGGCCTCTGTGAGACCCTGGACAGCTCAGGCTCTCCGTCCCTGTACTGTGTCTGCACACTCACTCTCACACACACACACACACACACACACACACACACACACACCCCTGCCCCCCAAACAGACCAACTTCCTCAGGTGGCTGCATGTGTTACATTAGGAGAGGAAGATTTTGTCTGAGCACTAGATATTTAAGACTAAAGAATAAATTGCTCCTGGGGGCTTCCCTGGTGGCACAGTGGTTGAGAGTCCGCCTGCCAATGCAGGGGACGCGGGTTCGTGCCCTGGTCCGGGAGGATCCCACATGCCGCGGAGCAGCTGGGCCTGTGAGCCATGGCTGCTGAGCCTGCGTGTCCGGAGCCTGTGCTCCGCAACGGGAGAGGCCACAGCAGTGAGAGGCCCGCGTACCAAAAAAAAAAAAAAGAAGAAATTGCTCCTATACCAGTTCCAGGAAATACAGAAGGAGAAATTCTGACTTAATACCAATTTGACTAAGAAAATTCCATCCCAGTATGTCTCCAGGCAGATGATTTCCATTAGTCTCTTGGAATCTTAACTCATTCAGTTTCCTAATAAGCTATGGTTCCAGGTACCAGATTCCCCTCACCAAATCCAGTAAGTCTTAACGGTGAATTCAGAACCAACCACGTGCTACTGTTGCTGTGGGACCTGATGGCCCTCTATCTGCTCTGTGTCATGCTTGGTTAAGTTTTTTGGAGGCAGTGGAAAATAGGCTCACAGATGGTATAAAAAGAGTAGTTTCTTTCTTTCTTTGGAAATCAAGATAAACAGATGCAGAGACAGCTTCACCCGTTTGGGATCCCTGCTGAGCCCTGGCTTCTCACTCTCTCCCCTGTAGGCTGTACTTTCGGAGTCAAGTCAAAGGGGAGACAGAGCGAGAGCGCCTGCTGCTTGCCTCCCAAACTAGCGGAGAGATAGTGGCAGGGAGGTTTCCTGTCAACAAGGAGCTGGCTCTGGAGATGGCGGCACTGATGGCCCAGGTAAGGTTCTGTCCAGGAGTCAGGAGGGTCAGGAGATGTCTTGGACTCACAGGTGGAGTGCACCACCCAGGCGGCAACAGGAGATTCTGCGGGTCCTGAGGTGCCAGAGAGGGCGGCCTTGCTGACTCCTCACACAGCAGAGTGCCTCACTGCAGATCCAGGCTACGTGCAGAACTCTGGGCGTGGAAACCAGGGGCCTGGGTTTGAATCCTAGCCACCTTCCCGCTATGAGATCTTGGCCAAGTCACTTCACTTGTCTGTGCTCTGATTCCCTTTTTTGTATCCCGAAAACAAAAATACCTCCCTGCCTGCCCCGACAGGGTTGTACTAAGTGTAATTCCTAGATAATGTATGTCATATAATGTATGTGGTTAAGTGTGTACCCACAGCTGTCAAACATTGTAATGAGAACTAGGAAAAGGAACACACATTAAGACTTTGACTCTTCTATTACCTTTAGGAGGCTGTCTTGCCAAAGGAATCTGGGATACCTTCCTGGTTCCCGTAAGAAAGAGTCTGGATCTACATGCTGGAGAGGATGGGGAAATAATAACAGTTGACCTTTAATACAATAAACGTGTGTTGAGTATGCTGTAGAGGGCCCTGTGCAAAACATTTTATATGTAGTACCCTATTTAGTTCTCACCTCCACTTTATAGATGAGTAAACTGAGGCTCACAGAGTTTAACTTGATCCTGGTTTCAGAGCTGGTCAATGGCAGAGCTGGGATTTGAGCCAAGTATCTGACTCTAATGGCCACATTTGGAACAGTCAGCTCTACTGAAGGATCTGTAGCATCTTCAATCCTGCATCCCATATTTTTGGATTAGAAGCCAGAATTTCTATAGTGTTTTCCCTTGTCTGCCACTAATTAACTGTGTCTTTGGATAAGGCACTTAACCTCAGCTGCAAAAGGAAAGTTGATCTAGACAATCTCCAATATTCTAGGACCCTAAGGTTGTTTCTCTAGTGTCTGTGAAACTTGAGATAAAGGGTCTGTCTGTACACAAGAAGTGTTTTTTCACATCCATTCACACCTCACCAAAAAAGGGATGAAATAATGGTTTATTTCACCTCTCTCAGCAGGCCCCCACCCCATTCACATCCAAATTCCTGATTTGTCCCTCCGTGTGCTTCTACCACAGGTAGAGTATGGGGACTTGGAGAAGCCCATCCTTCCAGGACCTGGGGGCACACCCCCTGCCAAGGCTCTGCATCACCTCCAGCAGGTCCTAGACAGGTTCTACCCAAGGCGCTACAGACACGGGGCCCCCCTGGAACAGCTGAGGTAGGCTGCAAGGTCTTGCAAGGAGTCACCGTAGGGAGGCAGGGGCTGCAGAGCTGGGGAAAACCTCAGAGCTGCAACAGAAACATGGCACCATCTCTCTCCATCCGTCTAAACCAGGCACCTGGCAGATCAGCTGACCACAAAGTGGGCAGCACTGCGAGGCTGCTCCTCTCCTGAGTGCATCCGCATCTACCTGACAGTGGCCCGGAAATGGCCCCTCTTTGGTGCTAAGCTCTTTGCTGCTCAGGTAAGTGTGGGCGGTTTCCAGCCGAAAGAGTGGTTACCACACCCTCAGGAACTCCCTAAGTTTCTCCTGGATTCGGTCATGTTTGAGCCAGTTCAGTCTGCAGCACCCACCCACAACCACTAGGGGTCACTATCTTTCCACCCATTTCTTGCCTACTCCAGCTTTCCCTGGTCCAGAGCAGTTGTGACTCATTGCTTTCGGGCCAGGGTTATTTCTGGGTGATCCTTAACTTTCCTTTATTGACTTCTTTCCCAATCCTACCCTTGAAAAAAAAGATAGGGTCAACTAATCCACAACAGAGTTCAGACTTGATATGATGTTCCTCTTGAGAATGTTTTTATTTTAAAAAAAGTTTGAAAGAACAACGTGTAACCTAAACAAATACATCTCTGCTGACCTGGTGCAGCCACAGAGGGATCTGACTACTCAGGCACCAGTTAATTTCTCCTGCTGGAAGGCCAGGTGGCTAAAAGTAATTTCAGATGGAACTTTTCTTCACTGGGTATCTGGTGTGCATGAAACTTTGTACGTAATCACACAGAGTATCCTATCTTCGAAGCTGGATCATGATCCTGTTCACTATAAGGATACAGATTAGACAACAGATATTCACTCATTCATTCAACAAAGAATTGTTGAGCTCCTACTATGTCTCAGGCATTGTGCTAGTTGTCTGAGGTGACAAGAGGTGAGCAAATCAGACACGTCCTCGCCTTCATGGAGCTTCCCATCTAGTGGGGGAGGTACACACTCATCAAATATTCACACATACACTCTCTTTCTAAATATATATATATATTATATATATATATATATATAATATATATAATTTTTTTAGAAACTGTCACAAGTGCCATGAAGGAAAAGTACAGGGGTGTTATAAAGGCATATAACATGGGGACCCACTTAGTCTGGAAGGTTGGGAGAAGCTCCTGAAAAAAAGGGACATGTCCATCTCTCTCCCCAGGGTAGGAGAGATAGGAAATCTGGATTGCCCTACTGCAGCCCTGGCAGTGAAAATTAGTCATTCTAGGACTTATCCACCAAAATAGTAATTTTTCTCCCTGGTAGGGCCTAAAGCCCTTGCATTATTGTTTTCCTAATTATTTTATAGTCCCTAGGAAATTGGTTGAAGCAAGATGCAGCTTGCACTTAGGAGGGCCTATGGGTGGAATGCTGTCAGTGTCTGAGAGCCAGGAAAAAACAGCTTGTTCTCCATGCCTGTGACAGAACAGCCAGGGCTGGCGTCTGTTCTGGAACAGGAACAAAGTGTACTGTGTTCTGTACCATGGCAGGATGGGCTATAGGTACTACAAGAAAGTGATACTCGGGGTTGTTAGTAGGTGGCCAGAGCCCCAAGCCAGGTGCCTCCTGCCACGAGCAGCCTGTTTACTCCAGCATACCATACAAATACTATCTTCTATGTTTTCCAAAAGAAAAAAGTTGGAAATCACTGCCTAGCAGATCCCTGGGTGTCCCTTCTTCCTCAGAAAGCTCTAGTGGTTCGGAATCCCTAGCTGTGGATGTCTGATGGGATTTTCCTGTTCCCCCAGCCTGCACAGCTGTCTTCCAAGGAGAACACTCTGGTGTGGATTGCCGTGAATGAGGATGGTGTCAGCATCCTGGACCACAACACCATGGTACGGGAGGATGGGGGCTGGCTTCCTGACCCCTCCTTCTCCTGACAGTATCTTTTCTTCTCTCTGGACTCAAAGGGCTGAGCTAAGTGACCACGGTTTTTCTTCCCCCACCCCCTGCCCAAGTACTGCTGTCCTCTAGTCTAGACACAGCTTGTAGACATTCAAAATGTAGATCTCCAAAGTGTGACCACTTCAGACTTCTCCCTTCCTGGTCTGGAAGAGACCGGGCATGCTGGCTCCTAGCTCAGGAGGCAGGTGGAAAGTTTTCCCAGAACTAACTGGCTCTTTCCCCACAGCAAGTGCACGTCACTTATCCCTACTCTTCAGTGATGACCTTTGGTGGCTGCCGGGATGACTTCATGCTTGTGATTAGATCCATTTCAGACAAGAGCTCTGGAAAAGGCCACATTGAGAAGTTGATCTTCCGGATGGCTGCTCCCAAGGTGGGTCTGAAAGCTGCTAAAACATTTTACCCTGCTGTGGTCTGATGAGATGGGCTCGGAGCTTAGAAAGGAAACTGGGGTTATGACAGTACTCTAGAAGGGCCCTGCCCCAAATGAAACTTTTGGCCCTATCATCAGTACCCCAGAGGGTTCAGGTGGCGTCTCTGCGGTCACTGCTGAGCTGGCAGGTGGCGGGGCTGGCGGGAGAGGGAACTCACTCTGGCCCAGCTACTCTGCGCTCCTCACGTTACCTTCCTCTGTTCTGTCCGCCACAGCACCGGACAGGCTTGAATGGGGGCCCTCTTGCTGCTGTCATCCTTGCAGCAGGCCCAAGTGTTCTCACCTTGCCTTGGGCTCTGCTGTCCCGGCACCAGTCACAAGTGGGACAGTCTGAACGTGCTCCCCCTTCCCTGGGGTCTTGAAGAAGGTCCTAGGAACTGTTCACTTTAAGGGCCTTGTTCCTACTCAGTACAGGAAATGTCGATGCAAAAAATAACAATTGTAGAGACTCTGAAACCAAAGTTCTGATTTATAGTTCCTGGCTCCCTTCTGAGCAACTGGAAACCCTGTTGTTTTAACCCTAAAGCTGGAGTTCGCCAAACCACCTCCTCCTTTCAATACTGTCCCTGCCAAAGGAGAGGATATACAGAGCCTCTCCTCTAGGGAGGCTGCCTTGCCTTGTCTTGGAGACAGCCAGGGCAGAATGTTGGTCCTCCTGTCCTCAGGAGGTACAGGGCACCTCAGGACCTCCAGACGCCTATTTCACTAGGCCTCTGAGCCTCACAGGAACGATCCCCTTTGGACATTTCCTCCCGGGTGGGTATTTTAATTTAAGGGACAAACTGAAGCCCAGGAAACTTATATAACCACTGCAACAGCTAGTGAGTGAGAGAGCCAGGATTCAAGCCAAAGCCAGTGTTCAATTCCTTTGTTTCTCTTTCTCTCCTTAGATTGCAGAGGTGACCTTCATCATGGCCAGCTACATGAACCACTGCTCCACAACCGTGGACCCACCCCCCAACCCGCCTGCTGCCTGCCAGCCATGGGAACTGGATGGACGACAGTTCTTTGCTTCTGTTCCATGTGCTGCCAAGGGGCCAACGTTGCTGTGAATATTCCTCCTACCCCTTTCCCCACCACCACCTGGTGCCTCTGGGATTAGAGAGATGTATCCTCGGGTGCGATACTACTGTGATGGGTCCAACAGCCCCCTGCAGCCTGCCCCAGTTGTTCTGTGAAATGTGTATTTCAGTGTCCATGAAGACTTTACTCTCTAGGTGCCTTATAAAGTTTCAGGGCCAACCTTTAAAAATCCAGACCCAGTACAAAAACCACTTTTTTTTTCATAAGAATACTGAGCTCTGGATGCTGCCCAATTCTAGACACAGATAGGGATGGCCCACTGTTACTGGTTACTGAGGGCATCAGTGCTGTAAGTCAGAATTTCCTGCACTGCTACTCTCAGGGAGACTAATATGTTTATGTTGTGTATGGTCCTCATGCAGGGGTTTATACTTGAAGTTTTCCTGACATCCCTGAACAGGGGAGGACTAGAATTTCCAATTCACCTGAACTCCAACAAAAGCTTAGAACGCACTGGGACTGGACTTCCTTTCCCATATGGGAAAGCTGTTGGCAGGGCTGGAGAAAAAGGAGGAGGCTCACCTTCCCCTGGTGCGAACGAGGAGGCATCGGCGGTGCCCTTCTGGGGCAGCGGCACCTGTCTCTGCAGGACAAGGCGCTATTCGCCTGAGACTGAAGCTGTTCTCCCTCACACTGGACCATCAGCCCAACTGGGTACAGGCAAGGGCACGGGCTAGGTCCAACCTGACCTCTCCCTGTCTCCTTTTAACAACTGGACAGGGCTCAGTGAAGGCTGTGCTTACTACTGCAGGAGAAGGTGGTCGTCGCTTGTCCCCCTGCTCTTTGAAACACCAAGCAAATGCATTCTGCTTTTTGCTGCTCTGTGAGGCCACCAAAGATGAGTCAGAAACAGAAGACACCCCTGCAGGCTCGTGGGCCTGGATTTGCTCCTTAAGACTTCTGGCGAACTTGCGCTGGGAATGTTTGAGGGCAGACGCACATATGTGTTATCTGTCCTAGCCTGAGAGCATCAGGTGAAAGGAATTGAAAGTATCTTTCACCTTTTGTCTTCCTGACGATGCCAATATGCCCCCATCCCCGAGTGAGACCTTCTGTTGGATGCAGATGATCTTGTCTCTGCCCTCCCTTAACAGGAAAAAAAAAAAAAAAAAGACGAAAGAGTTAATTTATACTCTGATTTTCCAACATTGAGGAAACTGAGTTTTATTTCATAGCTCTAAGGCAGTCTTATCATTTTTCGATAAAGTGCCAAACAAACTATATGGGCTTAGCAATAGCATCCAAGAACCAAGCCTTTAACCCCAGCAAAGTGTGTGTGTGTTGCACACTGTGAATACTGCAAGGCTGGAACTAGTTTATCTGAACACCTCAGCTGCTGTAAGCTTCCCCTCTCTCACCCATTAAACTGACAAGCATGATGAAAAAAGCAGCACATCAGAGTGTCTACCTTTTTTAAATGAACTTGACTTTGCCAGGCTGGCAACTTTATAGCTGCCTCCCATTTCTGTTCCTGCCTTTCCCCCAGCATTTGGGATTTAGCTGAGACATTTCTACCTCGAACAAGTCACATGTCACATGTCCCACAGGCTCCTGAATAACCCCTCAAGGGCTGGTGTAAAAGGCAGAAGTTACAGCTCTGGTTTTGTAATATCCTGAGTGTGTCTAAGGCAAATAAGGAATTATCATCTAGCCAGGAGTTAAAAAAAAAAAAAAAAAAAAAATCCCAAAGAAAAAGTAAGCAAGAATGGAGCTGTGTTCATATTGAATTTGGGAGTCAAGCTGTTTCCCCCACCCTGTCTTCTTCCCAACCCTTCAGGAATCCTCCCTTAGTTTATTAATTTTATATAGAAGAAACTGCCTTATAAACAAAGGCTTCTATAGTATGTATGTTTATCCTTCTTTAACATGTCTGGAAACCAAAGTCAAATTTCTGTCTGGCCTTTTATCTCACCCCTCTTGGCAAAAGAAGTTTTTGAAACCATAGACAATGCTGAGTAACAAGAGTATTAATGTGCTTGACACCCATGACTGAAATGCCATGATCGTGTTTGCCAATAAAAAGCAGCTGTCTGAACCAACCAATTGTGTATGTTTTGGAAGGAGATCTGTTGATTAAGAGAATCATCATAAATTAACCCTGTACAGAACATAGGAGCTAGGTGGACAGACAGTAGTCTTTTGTAGGACATTTCTTCCTACTGACCAGCCCCTGAAGGGCTTGCTTTTTCTCTTAGCTTTTATACAGGGGTACTGTGCAGTTGAAAATTATCTTTCTCAAGAGATCTGATGTCAGTTTCCCATTGTCTTGCTCTACAAATTTCAACAAAAAGTAAACTTGAACGTGCTTAGGAATATCACAAAGTGCTCTTCGTCAACATTACTCCTGACATACTGTTTCGAGGTCTCCCCTCAGGTGGTAAACAAAATCTTACAAGGGGAACACTAAAATACACATAAATACTTTGCTCAACATCACACAATAAGTTAGGCTTCCAGGCACCTGCTCTATGGCTCTGAGATCCACCGCATCCATACTGGTTCCTAGGACCGTGCCCACTTGATGGTTTAAAATACAGAAAGTAAACCAGCCACTGTGGCTTAGGAGTCCTCTCCTCTGGAAAACAATACTGGCCTTCTAAATGCTGGGACTCACGGGCTCGTTGATGTGGCTTTCTGGTGTGCCAGGATGTCCTGGCAGCTTCTGTACACTTCAATCAAGCAGTCCAGCCGGGGCTTGGCACTCTGAATTCCAAAGGAGAGAAATGCAGAGACAAGATGAACGTAAAGTGCTTAGTGGTATTGTGTCCATGTGCAACCTCAATCTCTCACCCACGACCAGGGGGTCTAAATGGTACAGGTGTGGGCTTCAGAGAGGCAGAAGTTCAGGCCTCACAGCATTTTGCTAGGAGGAATCCCTAACCAGGCCCACATCCCAGCCTGCGAACTGTGAAAGCAGGAGCTCGAAAGACAGTTTTTAATCTGTCTAAATTTCATGACCTCCCCCTAAGAGAAAGCAAGAAGAGTAGCAAGGACAGACCCTCCTGGGAAATATCACAAGCTGCAAAGCAGTTCCCAGAGACAAGAAGGGCAGTTTAATATGTAAATATTGAAAATTATTTTGTATAATGAAATGTAATACAACCAAATGAAAAGAAGAGCCACAGAATGGGAAAAATATATGGGGAAAACATATTTCATAACAGTTTGCTACCCAAAATATATAAATTATTACAATGCATAATCACCATCTAGTATCTACTTGACTAATAGAGGAGATGGATAGTTTAAAACAGAAAATACTGATAGGTAGTACTTACAAGGAAATATGAAAAGTCTCTTTGTCATTTAAAGAGGCACAAATTTAATAACTCTAAATTCCTTTCCCTA